TAAATCTATTCCAACATCCAACAATTATTCATCATGCTCAACTCATTCAACAATCTACCAATATTATCCACACTCTGGATGATTATCCTTGGTCTTCATTACATATCGCTGTAGCTAGAGCATCATTTGCACAAGAACGAATCTATCTAGATGAACAAATTCGTTTTTCAGCCAACAAAACAACCATGAATAATATGTATGTTATTCCATTACTTTATCGTATACCATCAATGAATGATCATGTATCAATTACTCGATTACATCATGCATTTCAGAGTGTTATCACTAAACATAATATTCTTCGAACAGCACTCTCTCTTGATACAAATACTCATATTATACAACATTGTTTAGATGCAAAGATTGCTCTAAATGATGAAATCAAATCAAATAGATTCACAATCGTTAATATTCGTAACGATGATCATCGTCATATGAGTGAAACTATTGCAGAAATATTAAATCAAGCTGATTTATTTGATTTATCAACAGGACGTGCTATTCGTTGCCATATTCTTCGTCATTATCATCAATCTCAAGATAATATCTCATGTGAGAATGATGACCTATTGGCTGAAAATGATCACATATTAATTAGTATTCATCATGCAATGTTTGATGGAGCATCAACATCAATCTTCACTCGTGACCTTTCTCTTGCTTATCAATCTGATGATTCACAAGTTCGATTATCAACGGATGATAACTCATTGAATTATATAGATTATTCTGTTCATGAACATATCATGGATATGTCATTATCTCAACAATTTTGGCAACTAGAACTGGAAGAATCTGATCTTAAACGTCCACTATCATTACCAGTTGATCGACAACGTTCATCAACCAATCAAGAACGATCAGGTTTAGCATCCATACATGAAATCATTTTCGATAATGAACTATGCACATCATTTCTCAACTATGCATCATCACATCATCTCACACTCTTTCAACTTGGATTATCCATATTCTATGTCTTCCTATTCAAATTAACTCATGGTGAGACTGATCTATGTATTTCTTCTATTAATGCAAATCGATATCGAAATGAATTAGTGAATATGATAGGAATGTTTGTTTCAACATTACCATATCGTTTAGAAATTGATCCGCATTGGTCATTTGATGAAGTAGTTGAGTATGTACGAGAAAAATGCTTATCAATTCTTGAACATTCTCATTATCCACTTCAACATATTCTTGATGACAATCGGTCAATTCAATCAAATGTGTCATTTCTTGAGATAATATTTGATTTTATCAGTGTGTCAAAAGATGTCGAACATTTAAATTTGAGTGATGCAAATTTAGAACAAATATCATTAGAACAATCAACTGAAATGTCAAAATTTGACTTTTCATTAATATTTGAATACAATCCATCATCAGATAATAATCAGATGTCTTGTTTTTTCGTTTGTTCACATGATTTGTTTGAAAAATCAACTATTTCGAAAATAGGTCAAAGATTTGAATATATGCTTTCGAACGTATTTCAAACACAACCAAGCAACTTTCCTGTGATGAATGCGAGTTCATCGATTAACAAACTGTCTGTTATTCTTCCTGAAGAAGCTAAAGAAATGGAATTAGTAGTGTTTCACCGGTTGGACAATATTGTGAATGAAGGTATGATTATCGGTTTTCTCTTTAATTGTAGACAAAAACCATAAGAATGTCTATGTCTTTCTGATATTACCAGAGAAAGTAACTAAATCATGTATGCAATCATGCACATACAAATTTCCGTAGAACAGTTTTCTTTTTTCAAGACATTGTGTTGATTTCACAAGACGATACATATTGCATCGATTGCGTGAGGAATCATTGATGCCATACTAACAGTAACAATAACAAGGAATATACTATAGTATCGACATAGAAGCTTTTTATAACATGGGAGTTTGAAAGGAATGTCGGAATAGTGTAGTCGCCGTATTCTGGCTTTAAAATACTGTGCACATCTGTCGAATCAAGTAGATCTTTACACTCTAAAAAAAATTCTGTATTTGTTACTATCGGAAACTCTCTC